AAGTAGAGGTACTGGGCATTGAACCCAGGACCTCATGCATGCAAAGCACGTGCTCTACCACTGAGCTATTCCCCAGCCCAGGTTCCATACTTTAGAACACATGAAAAATCCAATTTGGCTTTGACATCTTTTCCCCCTTGTAACTTTATGATAGAAATGGTTTTTAGCCTGTGAGCATTCATTTGGAGCATGGACACTACTCAAACGCCAGGCTTTGAGGGGAGTGCCTCCCAGATGAAGAGTTTGTCTTGGCAAACTTGGCTGTTGATGGACCTTGGTTCACAGAGCACAGCACTCTCAAGGAGCGGAGCTGGGTGCCGCGGGACTGAATGAATGACGGGGCGGCAGATCCGAAAGGAAGTAAAGCCCTGGTTTTTCCCACCACTTAGGCTGATTACAGGTCAACTCTTTTTTAGCCAGCCACTGTCCTGGTTACCCGGAAGAGGGGAAAGTTTTGAAATATAAGGATGTTTTTAAGGGACAGGATGACGTGGGAAATAGAAAAGCATGGTCTCTCCACAGTTACAGGTAAACCCAGGAAGAGGGTGTGAGGCTCTGTGCCGGCTTCTCGGAAGGAGCGCCTTGCAGAACCCCCACCCTGGCTCTGCAGGCTGGGCGGGAGGGCAGGCGGGCGAAGGCTGTGGGAAGCGGAGCAGACAAACCAGACAGACTGAAACAGGTCCCAGGGAGACAAGGGCAGGTGGCGGAGAAGAGAGGCAGGTCTGGATTTCTGGCCAAAAAGGCAAAAGTGAAGACCATGTTTGCCTTAGAACCCTATGCAGTTACGAAAATACCCAGTCCAAGATGGTAGAAGCTGGCAAATCTCTCCTATAACCTCTGTTTCAGGTTAAGGGGATCAAAACCCACTTCTGTATTTTTCTGGCTAAGGTCTCGCCTTGGCTTTATTTTTTGCACAATAGCTTCATTGACCGATGCTAGAGTCTGTGGGTGGCTGGGTGGCTGGGTGGCTGGGTGGCTGGGCGGGGGCCACAAACATGGACGTTCCCACGACAGAGTAAACATTTCTCTGTGCAAGTCAGGCTCCCTCTGCGTCCTCTCAGCTTAGGAGTCTGGCTAATTAACTACCGGGGCCGCCGGTGAGTGATTACCCCCAACCCTCCACCAAAGGTCCTGGGTTTCCTCCCTTTTGGTTTTTGACCCTGTGCTTTTTGGCTGAAGTATAAAGGAAGGGAAAATCTGAAATGTTCTCTCCAACGCTCAAAGCTCTGCTTCCTACAGGGGAGAATTGAAAACAAACTACTCTTGGACACTTTGCAGAAGTGACAGCAATATCTCTGCTTAGAAACCCGCAGGTGAAGGGTGGAGGGGGAGAGAGAGAACCTGTTTCTTATTAGAATTCTTGGCAAAGCATTGTGAGGCGCATCTGGAAAAGAAGGGAGAAGGACTGTCCTGAGGTTTGGGCATAAGCCCCTTTCTCCCATCCACATCGCTTGTCTGCTGGCTTTTTACTCTCGAGTTCATCTGGGACCAGGTTTCCCAATCCCTCTGTGCCCCCTCATGTGTCTGTACGTAATCTGAGTATATTGCATTGAAAGTGGAGAATCCAAATAAGGAAAACCCATTCCACTCACGTTTGTTCTAAATGTCATTTGAAGTTCCCCCACAACCTCACTTTCACAGATGCACTGAATTTCAAAGGCAAGTGTCAGTAATAAGGATCCCTTATATTTATTCACTTAGAATCATTTTCAGGGTGATAGCTTAGCCATTACTTTCATTTGAGCATCACAGCACTTGCTTGAGGTAGCAGATCTCCATTTTACAGACGGCAAAAAAACAAAACAAACCAACAAAAAACAAAACCAAGCCAAAACCCCTGAGGCCCAGAGAGGGTTGGTGACTCATACAAAGTTTCATAGCCAGTGAAAGCCAGAGCTGAGATTAGGAGTCCCAACCAACAACAGCGTATTATGGATCCAACCACACATTTAGCCCTGCTTGGAGCCACCTGTCCCCAAACCTCACCCTGAATTTTCAGGTCTAAATGCCACTTCCTCCAGGAAGCCCTCCCTGATCCAACCTCACCCTCAAGCTAAGGTAGGTCTCTCTGTTAGCACCCTATGTATTTTTTTCTTTATGGCACTTCCACAAATTTTAATCTTAGTATTGTGTGATTATTTGCTTAATAGTTTCCTCACCAGTGAGACTGTAAGCCCCCTGTGGACAGGAACTGTGTCCAGTCTTATTCATCACTGTAGATGACCAAGACACCATTCAGCACAGTACCTAGGACATGATGAGTTCACACACATGAAGTTTGTGAAATAAATGAACAAATGAGTGAAAAATTCCCCCATACCACAGTGGTGATGGCTGAACCCAGACTAGCTACCTAACTTTTTTGGGGAGCTAGCTAGTGAGGGATTTCCCAGGGAAATTTCGGGAGATTCTCATTGATGCTGTGTGAAACCTTTTGGCTAAATATTGAGAAAGGTCCGAAAAGGTTAGAAGCTGGAAAGCTGTGAATCACGCAGGATTTCTGCTAGTCACCAGCCTAGGGAGGATAAGGGACAAATGGACAGGGAGCCTACAGAAGTTAGCCCACGCCCCAGGGGTTATATCCGGCTCCCCGCCCTCACTGTGTGCTCTGGGGAACCATCCTCATTTCCTGGGTGGGTACCTAAGGGCGTGATTCATTTCGAGTAATGGGCTTGGTCTTCCTGGCTTTGCCTGCTCGTCCCTGTGGCCTGGGAGAGCTCCAGCGCTTAGCTGGTCAGTGTCAAAGGGAGGTTGGGACACACATCAACACATCATTCAGTGCACCTGGGGACACTGAGGCTAGAGTACCGGAAGGACAGGTCTGGCGGTGGCAGAGCTGGAACCAGAATCTGGGATGCCCGACTCTGTCTGATACCCTCTCCACCACCATGCAGTCCATCCGAGGTGTGCTCCGCACCTGGCATGTGCTCAGTGCTGGCCATCCCAGATTCCCACAGAGAAGCCGAAGTCTTGATCATTAAATACATAAAGATTAAACACACAAAAGAAGTATAATCTATGGTCCTACCTTCCAGGAACTTGCAGTTTCATTGGAGAGTGAAATTAAATTCTTGAAATGGTGACCAATGGGAACCTGTAAGTCTAGGTCATTACATGTTCCATTGTATAGAACAGAGTGTAAATGCTGAGAATTCTTGGAGGAAACTCAACAACTGTGCACAACCCTACAACTCTGCCTTGAGTGCAACCACGACACCGTGAAAGATTTCCATACGTCAGGAGGTCCTCAAGGGTGCAGTGCAGTGGCCAACAGCAGTCTTGGAAGTTAGATATCCAGGCTCTGCCGCATTCTTGATCTGTGACCAGGTCATTGGCCTCCCTCAGTCTTGATCTCCAATTCTGTAAAATGGGCTAAGAAAATAATAAAGATCCTCCCCTCATACAGTTGTTGTGAGAATTACATACTATGACGGTTGTAAGGCTTAAGTTAATACGTGATAAATGGTATACATTATTATGAATAAAAACAAAGCGATGTGGAGCTAGAATGGGTTACCGTGGGGAGACAGTAAGTCTCCGGTCACCAAAGGCATTCAAACCCTGGCTCAGAATTATAGTAGGGGGTCGATTATAGAACTGGGTGACATTTAGGGTCCTTCTTAGACTGGTCCCAAGACTGATTTTCAGGGCTTTGCTGGTCCTTGAGATGGATGAGGTGTTGGCCTTGTGGGAAGAGGGAAGGATGGCTTTCTAGAAGATGGGAACAGCATGAGGTGAGGCTCGGAGGTGGCAGAGTCTGGGAGGATTGTTCTGATTTCTGTCCTACTCGGGTTTTTGGAGCATCTTGTGGAGGGGTTCTCTGTCTACAGCTTCCAAGGTGTGCCCAGGGTTCTCTGTAGCTCTGAGGTCTTCCACTCACGTGTGTCTGAGTTTCAGGAACTCGTGAGGGGAGGAGAGTTTGTGATACAATTTCTACGTTAATACCAACAGCCTTTAACCACGATGATTCAATCCTGCTCGTCAAGGCAGTTTTCCAGCTGGCCTCACTCACTTCCTTATCACCTGCTTATGAGTTCCACTGAAACAATCTTCCTTTCTAGGTTGTCACCTGTGCTTCTGACCTTCCAAACTGAGGTCATTTACCGCCTTGTCAGGCTTTGGCTCCAGCCTCCACATGGGGCGGTCTTACTGGAGATGGGCCTGGTGTGGGGAAGGCATCTCACCAGGAACAGCTTGCTCTGACATGCTCAGGACTTACCACTTTTTCTAGTAGACATCCTGTCCCAGCTGACATCATACACCTGAATGAAAGTCCACCTTGAATACTGGGCTCCATTTTCCCCCCTTTTTCCAAATGAAAAACTAAACAGAAAAATTGGGGGCTGGGGGCAACTTGAATATGGAAACTTTTAGGAATATCGATGGGAAAGTCAAATACTACTAATGATATTTATTATTTACAACAAACTTAAAAACCACATAGAATATAAAATCACAGAGAAAGATGGCTTCTTTCCTCTCTTGGATGTCTTGAAATGGTTTTGTTCAGACTTTTCACAGTCACCATCACTGTCTCTCACTGGAGTTAATTCCTGAGTCCTCTCCCACAGTCTTCCAGAATCTGTCATCTTTAATCCCCACATTGTTTGGAGTCCAGTGCTTTGTGAATTTGTGTTTCTCATTGTCACTGGAAATCTCTACCAAGCCACAAGTACCCACTGGAATAACCAATTGTGAGACAAACTCTAAGCTTCTTTGATGAGTATATATGTGATTTCTGTAACGTGACTAGTTTTAGTATCATTTTGATCAGTGACCTTTGGAAGGTTGTTTGCAAGGATAGCCAGTGCCCACATTTGTGAAGATCTGGCCCCAGAAATAATGAGTACATTTCTATTAGTTTCTTTGCTTCTTTTTTTTTAAACAAATTCTGTCAAGTGATCTCCTTACCAATCAAAAAATAGCATTGCCTGAATTCCTTTGAGAATTTTGTATATTCTCCAAACAGTGTTCTCATACAATGATTAAGAGAACACCCTGTAATTAAGAGCTTGTCTAAGGCCACACCCTCTTTCCTAAAGCATAGTTTTAGGGACGTGATATGTTAACAGGGC